AGCCCCTATCCCTGAACAATCCCTATCCCTGAACAGCCCCTATCCCTGAACAATCCGTATCCCTGAACAATCCCTATCCCTGAGCAGCCCCGCAGCCGAGCCGGGATCCATCCGGCGGGCCGGGCTCTCTGCTCGGGGCAGCCGTCGGGGATGCGGGGCGGTCGGGCCCGGGGCTGTAGCGCTGTCCCGAGCAATGTCTGAACGGGCACGCACGGCCGGCTCCCATCCTGCCCGCTCCTCGTCCCTGCCGTGACCTCCCGTTTTCCTTCTCCTTCTTCTTGCTGACCCGAGACSGCGGTGAAAGCCCCTCGGCCCAAAGCTGAGCCGGGACTAGAGGCGGCCGAGGCTTTGCAGAGCCCGGTCTCAGGGCCCCGGCCCGTCCCCTCATCCCGCTCTGCACAGCGCTGCTTCCCCTGCGGCCACCTCCGCTCCCGAGCCTGCGCCGCGCCATGAAATGCTTTATCGATTAAACGATTATTCAGGCGATTTAACTAATAAAAGGCCCCATCGATCGCTTCGAAATTGCATTCCGCCACCGAGCCTCCAGGCCGCCTCCGCGCCCCCACCGCCCGCTCCGCGGCCGCGCTGCCCGCGGGGACCCGGCACGGGGCAGTGGTCAAGTGGTCAGTCCCGCTCCCTCTCACTGCCCGCTGGATCCCAGCCCCGCCAAACGCACACCGGGCCGGACTCTCCACGGCGCTCGGAGGTCTGGGCAGCTCTCGGCGCTCCCCGATGCCCCGGGGGAGCTGCTCCCGCGGAGCTCCCTGCGGCCCCTGCCCCAGCCCCACCTGTGCGGCCGCCTCGGGGASTCGCGTAGGTTTTCTCCAGCTCCATTCCAGCTCTTCAGAACTTGGGGAAACGGAGACAAGGAAAAGTTTCCACGTCGTTTTGCAACCTCTTCCTTTTCCCCTTTTTTTCCCCTTTTCTTTTTATTGTTTTGTGTTCTTTTCTCTTTTCTTGTATTTTCCGTTTTTCTTTTCCTCCTTTCTCGTTTTTTTCTTTTCTTTTATTTTCTTTTCTTCTCTTTTCTTTCTTTTCTTTTTTCCCCCTTCTTTCTTTTCTTTTTTTTTCTTCTTTATTTTCTTTCCTTTTTTTCCTTTTCCTTTTTTTGTGAGGGGCTCTCTCAGGTTGGAATAATTCAACTCTTCCGCTCCCCGCCGAGCTTTTGCAGCTGATCACTGAGCTGAAACTAAACGTTTTAGGTGGAAAAAAGCCTCTGAAGGAACCGTGAAATGATTAAGAAACTAAAGAGCTCCTCGCCATGTGAGATCATGTCCTGTTCTCTAAAACATCACAAGATGTCCCCAGACGCAGCCAAAACCCAGGAAAACTCTGGCATGTGCTGCAGCAGGAATCAAAGTTTGCTCGCAGCCGTCCACGGCGGCGGCTCCTGCCCGCTCTGCCCGCGCTGCCCCAGCCCGTCCCCAAATTTCAGCGCACCGACTTCCCCTTCCCGGGCCGGGGGTGACGCTGCCGCCCCCGGGGCCGCGCTCCGCTCCGGGGCGGGACAGGGACCCGCCTGCCCACGCCTGCGGGTGCAAGAGAGACCCCCGAACCCGCATCGCTCCGGCCCTGCCCTGCCTGCCCTGCCCCGCGCCCCTCCAAGGACAGCCGCTGGGCCCGATGGAGGCACCAAGGGCCTGGGAAGGATTTTCCCGGCCCGGGGGGGTTCGCTCGGGCTTTCCCCCATCCCCCCGCACCTCCCACTCGGGCGGCGGATGCAGACCCAGGGCCGCGGGTGAGCTTGGGCAGAGGGAAAGAAAAAATCACGAGGCTTCGATCTCTCCCAGGTTTATTTTTCAGCARAACGACTGGGGATGGTGGGGACGGGAAATAACGATCCTTCCCCAAGGCCAAAACAAATTTCGGCTCCGGGCCCGGGGGTGGTCCCGCTCCCTGCGCCCACCAGCGCATCCTCACGGCCCGCGGCCCCTCGCCCACGGAACGCGCTCAGACACGGAACCGACCCGCTCGGGGGGCTCTGCTGTGCTCCCCTGCCCCGCTTTCCCCTCTGCCCCACGGCGCCGGGACATGGAGGAAGGGATGGCAGCGAGTTTTGGGAGTGGGGGGCACCGCCGGGATGTGCCGGGTTTGGAGACGCGAGGATCCCTCCCGGCTGCCACCCCCAGCACCCAGGCTCGCACCGGGGGCTGGCACGGACACATGGACACAACTCTGTTTCCAAACTCCATCTTTTGCCTCCCGGCCTTTGGTTGGTCTCGGACGCGGTCGCACCCGGAGAGCGGGGCCTCGCCGGGCCCTGCGGGATCGGGGCCGCTCCGGAAGCGAGGCCGACTATGGCCTCTCTCCTTTTTGCTTCGCTCGCAGCAGCCTCTCCTCGCTCTCATTTTCCTACACAGAAATAGCCTCGCCGGAGCTTTCCGCCGGCTCGCCCTGAAACGCGACCTGAGCGTCACCGCTGCTCCGGGGTCGGGGTCSTTCCCTGGGGGAGCTGCCCCCAAGAAGCGGCCCAAATGCACGGCAGAACCCCCGTCCCGTTGTGTCCCATCCCCTCCCGTCCTGTCCTGTCCCCTCCCGTCCCGTCCTGTCCCTTCAGACACTCGGCTCTCCTCTCCCGGCCGAGCTGGCCTCGGGACCAGAGCAGTCCGGGAGCGCTCCTCTGACCACGCCAGGAAAAGGAACGAAAATCACTTTATTGTCCTAAAAACAGGCCGCGGGCCTCCCTCCTCCCCTGCCGGCGCTCGGCCCGGACTGAGACGGAGCACGGAGAGGCGGCGGCGGGGAAAGGGAAAGGGAAAGGTCGGGCCCCGCGGGTGTGCGGGGAGATGCGGGCACGGAGCCGGTGGGGTCGGTGTGAGCGGCTCCGAGGGGTGAGCGGCTCTGCGGGATGCGACAGAGGGACAGCCCGGCCCCGGTGCCGTGTGCCGGGACCTCTGCGCTGCCCCGATCCCGCTCGGYCATCCCCGCTGCCGCGATAACGAAAACAGCGCGGGGGCTCGGGCGGGGAGCGGCTCTCCTCGCCCCCTGCCCACGGGGGAGGGTCGGGACCCGCTCTGCTCCCGCTCCGTGCCCCGCGGACCCCGCCTCGCCCGGCACCGACCGCCGCGGAGCCGAGACCGGGAGCGGAATGAAAGGCCCGATGCGAGAAACTGCGCTTCACGGATGGCCACAAGGAACAGATCATCTCCCCGCTCGGGAGCCGGCAGAGTTGGGGGCTGCCGGGACGCCCCCAGGACGGTCCCCGGAAAATGCCTCCGCTCTCACAGAGCAGCATCTGAGGGGGCACAGAGCCGTGGCACAGAGAAATGCCCGGGGAAGGGGTCTCAGCGCCAGCCCACCGCGATGCTGCAGCCGCAGCCGAGAGCCCCTGGAGTCCGGGACCGCGTCTGGGAGTGATGCTGTGCTTTCTGCACATGGAGGGGTAAAACGACAGCAAAGAGCAGAGAACGTGTCACAGCAGAAATCTGCGTTTGGAATTGCCAAGGACCGTTGTTGCCTGCCCTCGCTGAAGACACAAGACCACAGACCTGGCCCAGCCTTTTTGTCCTTTTCTATCGGATGCACAGCGTTCAGACGTGTAGGGCTGCCCTCTGCTCACCCTGCAGCGCCCGCGGCTGCGCGGGGCTTGGCCTGAGCCCTGTCACAGCACACCTGAGAGTCCGCAGCAGAGCCTCCCGTTAGCCCAGGTACCGCCTGGCACTGCTCCCGGGGCTGGCACTGCTCCCGGGGCTGTCACTGCTCCCGGGGCTGTCCCCTCTGCCCGAGGGGGTTCCAGGAGCACAGGGCTGCGGGAGCATCCACAGACCCGCACCACCTTTGCAGCTGTCTGCGTTTTCTCAGGTCTCTGTAAAACACATCGACACCAAATGCGTGAGCGGGGGAGCGCTGCTACAAATTCTACCAATGCTGCCTCGGTTTTGGCTGCGTTGGGGAAGAGGGGAAGGTCCTGTGGAGGCTGTTACTGATTTGGAAATGGCCGGTGCTCCTCTGCAGCACTACAACCTCCTTTTCCTCCAATATCTATCATTTTAAATTTTAAATTCAAAGCAGAGGAGATGTATCAGCGATCCTGGCCCGGTGTGTTCCCAGGGATAACAGTCAGCTCGGAGCTGGGAATGCTGTTTAGACTGAAGCMATTTTAAAGGTGTTAGGTGAGCAGTCCTGTAAAGTTGAGAGCACTTAGGTAGCGTTCTCWAATATCCTCAGTGGTCTTTAGAGAGCTGTGCATGGGAAGCAATCAGAAAAAGAGGTTTGAAAGAGGAGAGAGGGGATTGGAGGCATCCCTCCGGCACTGTCCCCACAGAGGAGGGGTGCTGTCCCCCCAGATGATACCGCAGCTGGATGTGAACGTGGGGAGATGCTGACCATCCTATCAGCACCCCACACCCCTGCCCTGCCTGGTCAGTGCAGAGAGAAGCCACAGACGGGGTGGCCCCGCTGACAAAAGCAGCAGGTTTTATTTTTGAGAGCGTGAGAGGAGGGCAGGAAATGCYGAGAGACTTCTCTTTTTCAGCCAATATTCAGCAGTGTTTTTCTTTCCCCTCACTTACCGTTAACTTGTGTCTCAGATGTGCCGCCAGTTGCCAGGCGTTGTTGCTGGTGTGYTCCCAGGGGTCTTTCTCTGGTGTATTCCACAGAGACAGTCACTGCCMGCACCATGACTGGGTGAAAAGCTTTTCTAAAAGACCTGCACTGAGCTTTTGTGCCTGACACCCACAGGGCTGCTCCCCGTGCCGGCCCCTTGGACTTTTTTTCTCCAGTCCATGACCACACCGAGTCGGGCCTGCCTGTGTTTGGATACAAACCTGTGTTGAAAGAAAAGGCTAACCTAGTTTCTCCCTGCAATGAACAGCCCAAACCTCTTTTGTCAGGCTGGTGTGGAAGGGCTCAGTCTCCTCTCTGAGTCACTTTCACTGGTCTCGAGTGTGGTTACTTTGATTGTTAAAAAAAATACAGATTTAAAAGTCAACCTTGCAGAACGTTTTGCKGAAAATGAGCCGGGATCCAAGGAAGGCCAAGCCACCCCAAATGCTTTTGGGGTTTACTTTTCCTGAGAGCTCAGGGAGCAGCCACACCACATCCTCTGTGATCATGTGCAGGGCCAGGGGTTTGCTCGGGCCATCGGGGCCGAGAGCTCGGGCTTCCCCAGCTCGGTAAACGCCTTCCCGTTCAAACCCGGGGCAGAAATGTGACATAATCACCATCTGCAGCAGAGCTGGAGCCCCRCGGCCCCTGGAGAATCGCGGCAGCTCCTCGGGAGGAAATGCGCTTGTTCAGGTGGGATGAGCGCTGCCTGTGCTGCCAAAATGCAGAGCTGAGGAAAGAAAGAGACACCGTGATGCTCTGAATGCCTGGGGATGCACGGCAGGGACCAGGAGAGGCAGGAAGAGGGGCCAAGCTTCTGCTCCCTTTGCTAGAATGTTCCATGGAGTGCCTGGAGATGGAGAGAACACAAAGCAGGAATCAGATCTTGGCCGCTGTGAGTCAGGGACCTCCTGGAACAGCAGCCTTGAACCCACCCTTTGTCACTGCGCGGCTTTAACAACGCTCTGGGTGCCTGGCAGGTGACATGCCCGAGGTTGTCACCTCATTTCTCCACGACAGAGGAGCTGGCTACAGGCCACTGTGCTGGTGGAATAGCTGCTCAGCTGAAAATCTTGCTCCCCGCAGTCTAAAAGCATCCTCCCATGGATTTTGGAAAGAGGAGTCGATTATGGCTGTGCTGCAAAGTAAACAAMCCAAGATTTAGTTGGGTTGGAGTTTCTTCCACGGGGGCTCTAGCTGGAAATAGTCTACTCCACTACGCAACGCTTGATTTTCCAGTCTCTCTTGAGAAATTTAACAACAAAAATTTCTCRACAAGTTCATCCCAGGCCGTAGCTTTTATGCTTGCTGCTATTAAAATGTTGAAAAAGGTCAGATTGGTTCCTTTGCTGCTGAGTATTTCTCAGAGAAGAAGTAGACTGGAAGACAGGAATTTATATCACTGCATAGTCTGCTTCCAAAAATTGCCAGCAAAGAGGAAAACAGAGTGTTTGAGCCCATTGCTAGACACAAAAATGTTCCAAAACTGCAAACAGAAGACAGAATGTTAAAGAATCT